TGGTCACAATGCCCTAGCTCGGCATGATGAACGAGGACAACATCGGGGATCTCGTCAGATTCATGGACCATGAAAGCTTAGACAGGGAATATAAGATAGTCATGGAAAATGTCAAATTATCTAAAATGAAAATGACGAAACTTTAATAGTTCGACAGTGTCTTAAGCTGCGCTATGAAAACCGTCCGGTATATGTTTTCTAAAAGCAAACGCAATCTAAAAGCAGTCTACCACTGTTAGGGTAGAAACTTCCTTATTTTGGCCTCTAAGTTGACCTCGGAGAAGGCCAGGCGCTGGGCGGTGTTCTGGTCGATGCGAAGGTTGAAGGAAGCCGAAGAAAAGTAGGACAAGCCCGCGGCGGACGAGCCCGCCAGCCAAGCCGAGCCAGGACGAGCAAGCACGAGCCCGCCAAGCAGGACGAGCCGCAAGCAGGCCAAGCAGGACGAGCCCGCCAAGCAGGACGAGCCCGCCAAGCAGGACGAGCCCGCCAAGCAGGACGAGCCCGCCAAGCAGGACGAGCCCGCCAAGCAGGCGAGCCGCCACAGGACGAGCCCGCCAAGCAGGACGAGCCGCCAAGCAGGACGAGCCCGCCAAGCAGACGAGCCCGCCAAGCAGACGAGCCCGCCAGCAGGACGAGCCCGCAAGCAGGACGAGCCCGCCAAGCAGGACGAGCCAAGCAGGACGAGCCCGCAAGCAGGACGAGCCGCCAAGCAGGACGAGCCCGCAAGCAGGACGAGCCCGCCAAGCAGGACGAGCCCGCCAAGCAGGACGAGCCGCCAAGCAGGACGAGCCCGCAAGCAGGACGAGCCAAGCAGGACGAGCCCGCCAAGCAGGACGAGCCCGCCAAGCAGGACGAGCCAGCGAGCAAAGCAGGACGAGCCCGCCAAGCAGGACGAGCCGCCAAGCAGGACAGCCCCGCCAAGCAGCCCGCCAAGCAGGACGAGCCAAGCAGGACGAGCCAAGCAGGACGAGCCCGCCAAGCAGGACGAGCCCGCCAAGCAGGACGAGCCGCCAAGCAGGACGAGCCGCCAAGCAGGACGAGCCCCCAAGCAGGACGAGCCCGCCAAGCAGGACGAGCCCGCAGGACGAGCCCGCCAAGCAGCGAGCCCGCCAAGCAGGACGAGCCGCCAGCAGGACGAGCCCGCCAAGCAGGACGAGCAGCGAGCCCGCCAAGCAGGACGAGCCCGCCAAGCAGGACGAGCCGCAAGCAGGACGAGCCCGCCAGAGCAGCCCGCCAAGCAGGACGAGCCGCCAAGCAGGACGAGCGCCAAGCAGGACGAGCCGCCAAGCAGGACGAGCCCGCAAGCACCAAGACGAGCCCGCCAAGCAGGACGAGCCTCTAAGCCTCTAAGTTGACCTCGGAGAAGGCCAGGCGCTGGGCGGTGTTCTGGTCGATGCGAAGGTTGAAGGAAGCCGAAGAAAAGTAGGACAAGCCCGCGGCGGACGAGCCCGCAGGACGAGCCGCCAAGCAGGACGAGCCCGCCAAGCAGGACGAGCCCGCCAAGCAGGACGAGCGCCAAGCAGGACGAGCCCGCAAGCA